ACGACTGGTAGATATAGCAACCCTTTCAAGTAAAATTTTTAACTTTTCTTTTAGAGCTTCTAGATAAACTAAATTTCCCATTAGGCTTTAATGACAAATTCAAGAAACACTGGTTGCAACAGAATGAAAATTCTGCATCTTATGCTAACAAGAGCTAACACTTTGTCTCTAACTCCATCGAAATTTTTGAACAAATGGAATTATAATTTTTTAATTAAAAGGAGGAAAACTTTACTTATGACGCTTTAGGGAAGTTGGAAGTTGAGTTTTATCACTAACTGGAAAATCAAAAGTATCACTAGCAACAGAAAAACAACTGAACCTGAATAATCCAAAGCATTTAAGATTTTAAAAGGTGAACTTTGTATTTACACCATTATTAAAATTATATACTTTCTAATGCTTTATTTATTTTACTATACATGTTGATTGAATTTGGACTTTTGAAGGAATTTAAAGTAGCAGATTTAAGTTAACATTATAGTTTTTTTTATTTTAATGATCTTCTTTATTCGTTTTTAATTTTTTCTTTCTTCTCCCTGTTTTTAATTTAAATAACTGTTATCAAATTAAACTTTTAAATCATTTTTTTAAACTTTTAAAAATTAAAAAAAATTCATTTGTATATATATTATGTATATTACTGCACAGACAAAATACATCATTTCTAATAATTTGATTACCTTTTTTTTAATTAAAAATAAGTCATTTTAAGTTTGTTTATGTTATATTGCTTTTATTTTTACAAAAAAGAGAATGTTTTATTCCCAAAAACTTTTATGTTAAGAACAATTATTATTCAGAAAACTCTTATGGGGTTGTCCATAAATTACGTCACACAATATTTGCCTGTTTTTGACCTCCTCTTGTCACAACATTGTAACACTTTACTAACATTTAGTAGCTTTAGTCCTGTATGAGTTGTCACAAAACCATCAACCCCTCTTCCCCATAGAGTGTGATGTATTTTTTGACAACACCTATGTTAAGAACAATTAATATTTAGAAAACTCATATGTTAAGAACAATTTCAAATAACAAATATGATAAGAAATATTCAGAAAAAAAACTCTCATGTTAAGAACAATTAAAGGCTGTTTTCCACAAGAAGAATTAATTGCGCAAATTTTTTTTGCCATGACAGAAATGTCATTTTGATTTTTTCTTTTTGTGCTACTTTTTTTTTATTATCAATAATAAAAATGACAGCAATAAGTTTAAACTGTATGTTTAATTAAAAGCAATTATTACTTTTTTAGTATACTTTCTACTTTGAAATTTGTAGAAATTTTTTTCCATGCATTAATTTTAACATTTCTGTCTTTGTATGTAAGATGTGATACCATTTTGAAATATATCAATTAAATATAAAGTTTTTTAATAAGAAAGTATAAGAAAATAAATGCTAAATTCTGATATAAATTTTTTTTTTGAAAACTGTTACTGCAAGAAGGAACAGCAGGTTTAACTCCATGCGGGGTTTTTCACAAAAAGATTTATTTTTGTGTGGCCACTCAAAGATAAACCTTCTTGTGAATTATAACTCTTGGAATTGACAGTGTGCAAATTTACACCTGTTAATTCTTGATTTAAGTCTTGCTTCTCATTTGATGAATTTACTAATGCTTGCCAATATTCAGATTGAGTTCATATAAAATCAATATGAACCCCAGGTTGAGAACTTTGTTTCTTTGCCATATTAAAAAACAATGCGCTTTCGCTTTTTTTTTTACTGTTAAATTCATATGATATATCTGTTAACATCACGTGATAATAATTAAAATTTGATTAATTTTCGCTTATGGTGATTCGCAAAAAGTTGAAACAAATCCGACCTTTTTTTCCGCTGCAGCAAAAAACTGTACCTGCATAATTGCCAGAAATGTTTTATCTGCACATGCTTATAAGCAAAAAAACTCATCTCGCGCAAATTCTTTGTCTTGTGGAAAATGGCCTTAATATTCAGAAAACTCTTATGTTAAGAACAAATAATATTCAGAAAAAAACCAATGCTAAACACTAAGATCAATGATGTTTCAAAAATAAATACATTTTTACTAAATATTGTTTTTAAAAATGCTTCATGTTTCAATTAAATCCTTCATAAAAGTTTGATAACATTAAGGTTGATCATTGACAACCGTAAAACAAAGCTTTCAATTTTTTCTTAAAAGATTGTATCTTTAACTATGAAAAATAACACCAAATTGTTAGTAAAACAAGTTTTTTTTTTTAAAAAAAGCAGCTAAAATATTACAAAACAAAAACATATTTAATAAAAAATTTATTTTTCTAGTTTTTAAGAAAGCACTTAATAAACTTTTTAAGAAAGTAGTGGTCTACTAAAAGTTAGACAAATAATTTGATGTACACGTTAGTTTTTTGGATACCGTTATAGTCATTCAATAAATGAGCTAATCCAATACTAATGCCATCTAATAATGAACTGTCATTATTAAATACTTAACTGACATATAAAAATTTTAAATCATAAATGTTATATTCATACTTTGCATCTGTGTAGAATATTTGGAGCCATTAAAGTGGCTAGGTTTAGAGAGTCCATTTTGTTTCCACATATCTAAATTCAATGAAATATATTTAAACAATTAAGATGATTCTCTATTAAGTCTTCTATAGAATCTACTGTAAAATTGTCTAAGGAAAATTCTATAAAATCTTCTATAAAATCTGAAAATAAATATAATTTAAAAAAAAACAAAAAAACAAGAACACTTTTTTTTAACTAAACATTTATAATAATATATAAAAAAAAAAAAAGAAAATATTAAACTTTTATGATAACCTCATTATTAAATTCATCTTTTGAATTTTGGGAATGGTCAGCTACCATTCGCAAGCAATTTAGGAGACATTCTAAAGTATCTCGATTAGCCACAGGTAGCAACCAGATAAGCTGCTGAATAATTTCAACTTTTTCTTCTTTTGTTTGTGTTTCTTTTTCTAAAGAAAAATACATAATTAAGACAAAAATGTAAGCCTTACATAATTAAGACAAAAATGTTTACAATTACATAATGTAAGCTAATATGTAATTTCTTACATTAAACAAGTAGCATTATGTATATATATATATATATATATATATATATATATATATATATATATATATATATATATATATATATATATATATATATATATATATATATATATATATATATATATATATATATATATATACATATATATATATATATATATACATATATATATATATATATATATATATATATATATATATATATATATATATATATATATATATATATATATATATATATAGTATATATATATATATATATATATATATATATATATATATATATATATATATATATATATATATATATATATATATATATATATATATATATATATATATATATATATATATATAGTAGTTTTAACAATTTAATTATAACAACCATTTTTACATAAATAAAGATACAAACACTTTTGCATAAAATTGTAATATTTATGAAAGCCATTTTCGGAGAAGAAACATATCATTACAAACTATTATAAAATAAATATACAAACTATAATAAAATATATATACGATATTATAAAATATATTATACTATATTATATATAGGGGTGGATTCAGCATTTTTTGATGTTTGAAACAGCTGACTTCCAGACATAGAACAAACACCAAACATTTATATATTTATACTTGTATATTTATACTTGTCAAAGAAGGCCAATTAGCAAAAGTTACGATTATTGAAACCTGGAAACAAAAAAGTCCTAAAATTTTGGCCAAAACTCCTCTAAACAAGAGAGCAACGAGTTAAAAATTTTTCAGAAAGTCAGCAATCTCAAACATCAGAAAATATTGGATCTCCCCCTCATATATGTATATAGATAATGTATATAAAATATGGGATTTATCAAACATTATACATACAAAACATAATGTTATGTTTATTAACTTTTTTTTATTAGTTTTTATATGTAGAATATTTGAAAAATCGTGTATCTTATAATATTTTTACTTCTACTTTGTTTTGCAATGAATAATCTTATACTTGTCATCCCAAATTTTATATATTTGCCACTTTTTAAAATAAATTTTCAGAAAAAATCCATCTTGTTAAATTCAAAAATAAAAAACATGTTTAAATTTGTTAGTTTGCTCAGCATGTTTTAAAAAGTGAATTGATATTTAGAAAGTTTTTAACTATTTTCTGGTCCTTTAATGTGAGACTTTTCCTGCAAATTACACAGCTGCTCAGCTGTGGCAAGCTGCTATGGAATCACAAAAGGGAAAAAGAAAGGTAGAAAATACAAAAACAATAAAAATTTTCAAAATCAGAATTAACGAACCATAACATTTATTTCTGAAAACTATTAAATTTTTTTTCCTTTAAAATAAATTCTGGAAAATAGAAGGAAAAAAAAAAGATTTTTACTTTTAAAATAAAAAAAATTATTTTAAATAAAAAGATACTTGCATACTTGCTAAAGATAAAAAAACTTGGTAAAGTTCTCTAGTCAACAATGGATCAGGTAAACATCTTAAAAACTCTTTTAAAAGTGCTGCAACATCGTTTGGATTACTTTCTTCATTAATGACACCAAAAAATCCTCTGTCATAATCACTTTTCATCTAAGAGAAATGTTTAATACAAAACTAGAGTAAATAAAATGTATATGTATAAAATATATGGTATAAATTGTCTTACTTGAGTCACTCGTTTTTTTGAACCTCCTGTTCGAAATATTCCAACTGTATTCAAGGCAAACTTGGTTATGAACTCTGTTGTTTGCAAAATGACTTTTGGAATTTGAAGAGGAAGTTGTTTAAACTCTATTTCTTTATCAAGTATGCACAAAGAAGAAGCAGATGTTGAAGAAAGTGCAAGAGCTTCAATTAACCTTGATTTTCTTTTATTGGTGCTCCATTCATCCTCGTCTTCTTCTTGCAGCGTACATATTGTCCTAAAATAATTCAAGTTGTAATCTTCATGATCCTCGGTTGTAAACGCCTCTTCACAGACCTTAGTTCTAGTTATACTGTTTTTGTTTGATTGATCTTTTTCATTCGTTTCAAAGTTTTCCCCAAGCTCTTCATTTTTATCAAGTTTTTGCATTGCCTCTTTTTGCGCTTTTTCAATAAGTTTATCATTCTCAATAACTTGGTTTAGATCCACCGAAAACACAGGGTTATAAGGCCTAGGAGATGCTAATGAAAATTTTTTTTTTTAAAAATCACATTACATATCTTTTTTATATGTTTATATACTTGTATATCTTTACAACTTTTATCTTTATATATCTTTACAACTTTTTACACAAAAATAATATTGCATATTAGAGGAAGAAAACATTTTGTAAATAATTTAAATAAAACAAAACACCTTTTTCACTGCTTTCATTTTTTGCTTTTTTTCGCAAAATCATCAACTTTTTCCAACGTCTCCTAGCTGCAACTTGGGTATCTTGAATAAAAAAAGTATTATTGTTTTTTTGCTTTTTTTTTTTTTGCATCATTTTAAAAATGCTTTAAGGGAAGTATTACTATTTAAGATTTCTCAATATGGATTAAAGAACTAGAGATTATTACTAGAGTATTTGGACCAAATGGACCAAATTCTCAGAATAATTAAGGTTAATGATACACTAAATTTTTAATAAAAAACAAATAAAGAGCTTTAAATGAAGTTTAAAACTAATTAACGTGTGTTTTACTATAATTTACTTTGAATACTGCTGTCAATTAACGGCTTCAAATGAAAATTCTTAGATGCAAACTAGTTGAAATATTTTGTCATTAAAACAGAACATCTGTATGCAGAAAATTTATTCATAAATGGATAAAGTCAGATTAATGAAGATTAATTTTAGAATTTAATTTTTTTCTATTTTTATTAATATGAAGTGAAGGTTTGTTTTAAATTTATAAAAAAAAGTATAATCAGTGTTTTTGTTTATCTAAAAAGATGCAAATTTTTTTTATTTTTACATTTTACTGAAATAAGGAAGGTTTTAAATTTAAATTCCAGAGATTTTTAGAATTTTAGAAGAAAAAAATTATACCCGGGCTTTAACTTTTTCTAGATATAAAAAGTTTTTAATTTTTTTTGAATTATTTTTACATCTTCCATATCAAAACATTTCCCATTACAAAGTAAATAGAAAATAAAAAGTAAAGATTGCAATGTGGATTTGCAAAAAACAAAACAACGCAACACAAATTATGGCAATGACATGTATATACTTAAATCTCAAAAATCTATATATTCATGCAGCATAGATTTTTATTAGTATTTTTATTTATTAGGGAACATTATTAAATAGTTAAAGTACAAAAAAACTTTTCTAAGATTCGAGATTTGATTCACATATATATACAGGGTTGCTATTATAATTCTGGAATAAAAATCCCTGATTTTCCTTGATCTTTTCGATTAAATTTTGCTTATATATTCCCCTGACATTTCTATAATTTTTACTCAATAACTTAGCATCATAACTTCGACATTAAACCCCAGACACACTATTTCTATCATTCCAAGAAAACAGAAAGCCTGCTATATATAAGAAAATTTTAATATTTCTGTTTTAAATGGAAAACCAATAATTTGTTTGATAAAAAAAATGATTAAATACTTTGTACCCTTCTAAAAACCAGTTAAAATTAGTAAATTTGTTTTTGAAACAAATATAAAAACTAATACGCCCCCATATGTCCTGATTTTATGTAAGAGAGTGTAGCACTAAATTAACTAAAATTAAACCTTTCCTTGCACTCTCCTACGTAAAATCAAGACACATGGGAACCCTATGTTCCTCTATCTACCCTATGCTAAAGAACTAGATGAAGTAAAAGCTGATCATCTACAGATTTCATCTGTATAAGAAAATCAGCTTTTTTTGATAGGATTTACTCTGAACTGATGTAACAAGTTGCTTTAAGAAAAGAAGATTAATTGAAACATTTTTAAGAATTTAAATAACTGTAAGTCAAAAATCTTTCATGAATATAGTAATCATATCTTGAGATTACACCTTTTCACCTTAAATTCCATAATGTTACGTTCTGCAGCAAAACCGGTTGTCATTGATTTTAATTGCAGAAACTTCTGCTTTCTAGTGAAGTAAAATTTCAGAAGTTGCCACCTATTTATAATGCTGCATAAAACATCTTGTTTAATTATAAAACTCATTAAAATTTAATCAATTGAAAATAAATCTTTAAAGAGATGGAATCATTAGGGTGTCTGCCTGATATCTCACTAAAATTTTCTGCAACAAACTAGCAATGTAACCAAAAAAAATTAATTTAGTGAAAGTTAATTTATCTTTTAGTTTAATGACATTTTTTACATAATCAGCTTTTCTGGCAGGAAAACCATGGAAAAGGTTGCATTGAAGCTTTCATTAATTTCCTTGATTGAAAACCAGTTTTAAAAGCTCCATGAATTACATGGAGGTTGCAACTTTTAATTTTAAGAAGTTGAGGTGGCTTAAGTTGCTCAGGCTGCTTTTTATAAGGATCAAGAAATAACCAGTCTATTAAGAAGTAACCAGTTAATTTTGGGCCACAATTTTGTCAGATTTATGCAATTAATCATTGCCAATGATGTGGTCATACTTTCAAGTAATTTTTTTTGCAGGAGGGTAGCCCGAAAATTGAGAATATAAGTATTTGAATTCAACACGATTTAGATCAATGTTTAAAAAATGAATACTATTTGAATCTATTTGAAAATTTTGAAAAGAAACATTCAGGCCTTCATTAAAATAAAAGGTAAAAAAAAGAGGAGATTTTCAGATACTTCTTTTAAAAGTATGTGTAAACAATGTCTAAGACCATAATTAATAACCAAGTTTTATTATAACTATCTCATGGGTATAATAAAACTTTAACAGTTATGTTATCAGGAAACATTTTTTGATATTATAGACCATTCTTATTACGCAAGTTTAATGAGAAATTGTTTTGTACTGCATGCATAAGAGATTTCTGCACAAGTTTTATCAGATTGATCTACTATAAGAACTCCTTGGTTTTTAGATGTAGACTGTGCAGGTTTGAAGAAGAAGGATACTGGTTTTGACTTTATGAAAATGTTTTTTCCTCTCCATGTGACTCATACTCAAACCTACATAAAATGTTTGACCAGAATAAAAGTTAATTTTTTTAATAATAATCAAATATAATATATTTGAACAATCTTTTGAGCAGTATAATTATTTAATTAGTTAACTAAAAATGAATATTATTAACTACAAAACATATAAAACATTGAAATAATATAGTACAAAATTAAACAATTCTCTGATTTTCCTTGACTTTTAACTCAATCAATCTTTTTACCCTGATTACCCAATCATATCTAAATTTCCCATACTTTTCCTAAATTCCTTGATTTGGTGGCAACCCTGTATATAGGTGATTCGATGCTAATTTACCTTATTGCAAAACTTTACATATTTTCATAACTTTGATCATATTTTCACAGAAAATATGATCAAAGTGAGCTAGAAAATAATCTGTGCTGATTGAAGTTCAACAAGAAAAAAATAAAAAATTGAAGCTCAACATTTTGATTACAAATAATACAATTCAAAAAATTAATGTTTGCTGAAATAAAATTTATAAATTAATTTTTGAATGAAATGGTTTACAAACAATTGAATAAAAGTTTATAATTGTTGTCATTGTAAAAACAACAAACAAGGTTTCAGATCGTACTCATTATCATCAGTACCATTTACAAATGTGTGTACATAATCATTGTAGAAAATTGAACAGAAAAAACCAGTAACGTAGCAAGATGGGAACCAAAGAGACTTTTGCCCTGGACACAAACAATTTAAGGGCCACACAGTGTGCCAGAATTCACTTTACCTGGACAAAACTAATAACACAGCATATAAAAATGATTTATGGACCATTTTTTCATTGTTCACTAATTTGAGGATTGCAGTTTCAATGGTGACATTTTTAATTTTGAGTTGCTATGGATACCTAAAATGCTTAGTAACCACATATTTTATTATCTTAATAATACAAACTGGACAAAAGTTATAATTTTACCAGATTATTCCAATAATTACCACATTGAGTATTTTTATACTAAAAATGTAGTGATACAATGAATTTTTTTTTTGGTTGATAGTAACACTTGAAATGTCAAAAATTTATTTTGCATAGTTACTAGTGTAAGTTTCTTATAAAGTAGACTAACATTAATGTGGCTATCTGATTGAAAATTATTTTATGTATTTAAAAAAATAAACACATACCCAATTACTAATTTTAGGTATTTTTATGCAGCTCCAGGGGTTTAATTAATATTTCATGAAATTACTACATAATCCATATAAAAAGAACCTAAAGCTTAAACTTTTTTCTCTATATATATTATAATGTATATAATAACATAAAATTTTTGGTTTAAAATATCTCTCAAACCGCTCATGTATTCTGATAATTGTACGACAGCTTTAGCACCTTTTTCTTTACTTTCATGGTGCAAACTGCAACCTGATGCAAACAATAATTCTGAAAATAAAAAGATGCAACTAATATCGCTAATCTACTTTTCTTAGTTTTACTACTTGAATTATTGAAATTCACCTGAGGTCTGGATACTACAGTTGGATAAGAGCAGAGTTATCAAATTGATAATTAATGGAAGTAGTTAGAAGAATATTCTTATTATAAATTACAAATTAAACCGATATCCATTCATTTTGCAGCTATTGTTTTTTATTCTCTTAGAAACAAATTTTAGAGCTTTTGCATATATGCTATCTTTGTCAAAGAGGCTTTATGAAATTAGACAAGCTATTTAAAACTGCATCAAAAATATTAGAATTAACTAACTTCAGGTTTTCTTGTATTATATATGAATAAATATCAATACTTTTCATATAAAAATAATAATAAGATTTATAAAATCTTATAAATAAGTATTTTAAGATGTACTAATATTAGAACAAGTTTGTGACACTATTGACAGATCCAGGAATGCAGACATCCGCGGATTATAAACCAAATTTGTACTGATAATGTACATATTGAACAATGTAGGTTTCAAGTCTCAAATTACTGGACCACCTTGGACCTCACAAGTATTGGGTTTCGAAGTGGAGGGACACCATAGTGTATTTCTAAAAAATTCCTCTATATCTGGAATTTTCTCTAAAAAAAAAGTCTTTTATAAAAAAAGTGTGTATGTGTGTGTGAGGGGGGGGGGGAGGCGAGGCCGTCGGCGTTATTTCTTTAAATATCGCCTTTTTGATATTTCAACCCGAGCACTATTGACACTCACTACGCCACTGGATAAAAAGGAAACTTAGCAAAATACCCATAAATTTATAACATCAAAAAAAGAAAAAATGCTTCAATCTAAGAGCGGACACGATAAACGGATAAAGAAACAGTTAACTGCGGAAGCACGACGCAAATACTGATGGTTTCCTAAAAAAAAAAGAGACGTCGATGATACTGAGTCTGAACATTAGACCGTGCTGATTCTACCACCGAACCTTTATGAGCACCGCGCTTAGAAAGGTCAACCTGACCCTCTAAACAATTAAGGTGTTTAACCCAGTATACAATAAACTTCCACATCGAATTTTTCTTACATTATTTCTTATTAATCATAAGAAATTCTTCTGAACTTTATGATTGACTTAAAGTTTTGCAGTTATTTTTTCATTTACTTGCTTATTGAAATAACTGATAAATATATTGTCTTTAAGATTTAAAAGTTTTATTCGTTAAATATAAAGATATTTCTTATCTGTCTGATTTGCTCATGCTAGCCACAAAGGCCCGCGTCTGAGGCTGGCCTAGAACCTCATTATGCCTTACTTCATTATGTATTATTTTAATTTTTTCTAAATCTTTTTTGTGCGCTAGCGCGTGCTAGACGCAAAATATATGAATATTTCTGAATAAAATATTTAACAAATGGTTAATGTCTATTAACCTTTAAAACAAGTTAATGTCTATTAATCTGTTTTTTAGATCAGAAAACTAATTTCAAGTAATTTTATCTTAATATTATGACCTAAAAGAATGTCAACTTAGGTAAAGAAGTAAATTATACGCAAAAGTAACTTTAAAATTCGTTTTTCCCAATATATTACCAAAGTAGAGACTCTTATTAAAAATAAAAGTTTTTAAACTGAAAAAGTTTCTTTATTTTATTTCAAGTTCATTTTGTAAAAATGAAATCTAAAGAAATTACCCCACCCTACCCTAAATTAACCCCCAATATTTACATGCCTAACTAAATATTGTATAAATTATTTTATTGTATTCCACTCAATACCACTTACGCTATATCTTCGAAATTAACTTGTCAGAAAAATTTCAGATATAACGTAATCTTTGTCAGAAGAATTGTTTCTATCGGTTATAACACACATAGTGTACGTATAGTAATTCAGTTCCGCTTTAAAAACACACTTATGAATTTTTCAATTTAAACTCATTCATTTCGATGTTTGGCACTGGGAATAAATCAGAGTAATAAATAAACATTCATTCTTACAGATACTTTTAATACTGCTAAAATATTTGCGGAATGTTATTAAGTATGATGCTTACGCATGGTTCAGCTTGTTACGCTTGTTTGGTCGTAAACTTAAAAGCCTTTATTAATATTGACGTGATTTTAAAACACAATTTTAAACATTTGCAATTTATTTTCCAAATCATAAATTAGATCAACTTTATTAACTCAACTTTTTTAAAAAAACATTTTTTTTTGTTAAAAAATTGTTACCTTACCTTTGGGGATTATTAAATGACAATCAAAATTGTTTTCTCGTAATCTTTCTAATCCGTACTGTTTCAATTTTTCACGCTCTGATTCAGTTAATTGGTGCAAAGAAATATCTTTTAGTTCAACAACTTTTTCTCCAGACTTCCAACGACTATTTTCCTAGAAGTAAATAAAAACGATATTAAAAATTAAAAATTGAGGAGAAATACGCTCCCCGCATCGTTTGGGACTCAAATAATCTCTATTTTAAATCAAGGTAGTACAGCACAGAAAACATAATTGAAATGTTTTGATAAGAGTTAAAACCAATTATAAAATTAAATCTAAATTAAAAATAATCAAGAGCTTGTAATACATTACAAGTGTTAATTCAATTTTAGCAACCAGTGTAAACTCAGTCTTACCATTGGTGTCCATAAAGAAGCACCTTCGTTATGTATTCTTGATCGAGTTTTTTTAGTGCGATTAATAACACTTGAAAGCTTTTTCCTCCTTGGAACATCTTCGGTTTTAATTGAGAAACTTTGTTCTTTGTTTAATACACAATTCTCCATTTCGATTGCACAGTCTGGAGGCTGTTTGCCCAGCCATTCTTTAGTTTCAGATGGCATTGGAATGATTGTGCCTCGAACAAAGTTTTTAAAGGAATGCACTGCAGATTTCTTTTTTTGATTAACTATAACATGATCTTCTTTAACTATATTATTGCAGTTTTCATCTTCTTTGCCACATATTACAGTTTCACAAATATCTAAAGATTCAACAATATCAGTTTCTAGAACTTTGTTAGTAGCAAAATTGTTAAATGCATTCTCCTCATTTTGTTTAAACGGAGACATTTGAGGTGATTCGTTATTGCTAAGATTGACACTATTATCTTGTTTTACAAATATTATACCATTAAAGGACGCATCACTTATTTTTTCTCTTTGTTTGTCGGGATGAAAGCGAAGTAAATTTCTCCCTGAAATATTTGAAGATATTTTGATATCGGTCATGTCTATTTTTAGGTTGTTTATGAGCCTATTATCAAATAAAAATGTTCTTGAACGTACCATTGAAAATCTCCTAGACTTTGCAATACATGAGAAGCATTATACTTCTTTAAAAAAACTTTTATTAACATAAATGTCTTCAAAAATATTTCACCACTTACTACTAAATTTTGTCCAACCCTATTACAACAAAATCGCTGTTTATCATGCACGTTAATAGTACTGTTTGGCATTTTAAACTGTAAAATATATTTTAATATCCTTATCTAAAGCCTCGTTCTGCATCGTTACTTTCTAATCGTTTTAAACAATATAGTCAAACTGCGTTAGATGAAAACTAATATAGACTGACACAAATATTTTAAAAATGGCTTATTAAAAAGGAGAAATAAATTGAAACAATACAACCCTTCATAATGAAATATAATAAAGCACTTCACAATAAAATATAATACAATATGTTATATAAATATATATATATATATATATATATATATATATATATATATATATATATATATATATATATATATATATATATATATATATATATATATATATATATTTATATATATATATGTACATATGAAACAATAAACTTTGTTTATAATTGATATCATTAAACATTCATTAATCGTTTTTGTGGTAATTTCATTGAGTTTCGTATTTTAAATTGTCATTAACTTATATTGCATTTAAACGTCTTTAATAAATTTATCAAGTTTTTGTTTCCAAGAAATAGTGTTTGACATATAATTAAAAAATAAATTGTAATCCTGAATTTTAAACAGTGTTTTAAATTACATCAAGTCTTGAATATCGAAATGCTTAAATATCGATTTATGCAGAACCGCATAATTATTAACAATATTTTAAGTTTTACCTGGTTTGCCTATTTATACCTTACCTCACTTTACTTATACCTACATATACCTAACCTTACTAACTTGAAAAGATTTTTTTAATTCAATCTTATAACTATTAATAACTATTGCACTATTTTAATTAAAAACTTGTTCGACTTTTGTTCGTGTTCAGTATTGTGGAAAAAAACATAAATACCACTTAGCTCAGAATTTTTTAAACTGCATTAAGCATGTTTAACTTTTTTTCAAATGTAATAGCTTAACTTATTAATATTTGCAGATTAAAGCTGTGGATAATTTATAAAATTTTGGTTAGTATTACTACGGCATTTTTTAAACAGATGTTTCTTGCAGATTTAAAAGACATAAAAAAAACCTTTAGAAAAAAAATTTTTTAACTTAGACTTTTGCTTATTTTTATAGAACTCTTTGTTGTGTTCATAGTAGGATTTAGAAGTATCTATAAAGTTATTACACCTTGTAGAGTATTTCCAACCTTAAACCTAAAACAGAGTTTGAAACAACAAGATTTTTATTTTATTTTATTAAAAAAGGATTATCACGGCGTTTGGAATATTAATGAGTTATTTTATCCCACGATTTCTTTTAATTGATATTTGCTTTATTAAAATTAAACACGCGTTTTGTGCAAAGTGACACATTTTTAAATTCAATGAAATAAAATAAATTGAACTAAATTTATTTTTTGTAAAATGGAGCTAAAAAATTTTTTAGCTTGTACACTTTCTTAAAGTAAAATCTTTACCAAGTTTTTTTTTATAAAGATTTATTTTCAATTTAAGAATAAAAATAATGTTTTGAAAACTTGTCTGCCCGATAATTAGATTGTCTATGATTTATAAAGATAATAAGTTTTAGCTAGTAATATGCAACTTCTATATGTTTTATTCCAATGACGCACCACCCTAAAACTTTCTTAAATTATGGGGTGGAGGAAAGATTCATTATTTTTTACTTTTACACCTAACATGAAATAATGAAACGCAAAGAAATAATATTCCTCTCAATAGAAATAATATTCCTCTCAAATACACATATTTAATTGTTTTTACAAAAATTAAAAAAAACAATACTTATCTTTTCGTATATATTAGAGATCTTAAAGGGGAAAGGGGGTGACGCATCTGTTTTTTTACCAACTAACAACTTCAAAAAAAAGGTCCTCGCTGCTATTTTCCGACTACAGGTCTAAATTTGCGGATTATTTTCTGAATGAGGTTTTCGTAGGGATATATATATATATATATATATATATATATATATATATATATATATATATATATATATATATATATACACTTCAATGTATAAGCATATAAGCATATTTATATATAATTTAATATATATACATATTTACATATACTTTAATATATAAACATATTTATATATACTCCAATATATATATATATATACATGCATACACGTATTAGTCAGTCAAAATAAAAAGTAATCAAAACTTTAATTAAAATGTATTTAAAATAGCGTAAGTATTCAAAAGTATTTAAAAAATTAAAAACATTTCAAAACGATTAGCAACGATTAAACCCTTGTAATAAAATTATTAAATCTTAATCAATTAAATTCTCTGTATATTAAGTATTCGATGACTATTGAATTTATTAACTTGAAAAGATTTGTAATTATCAGCAGACAACAAAATAATATATGATATGACAAGTGTAGCGAGTTACAGAATTAATTGTTACACAACAAATCAGACTGTTATAACCAAATACAAATACAATTTTTTAAAAGCTGAAATGTCCATTGGAAAAAAAGAAATAGGATAACCTAATTTTATTTTGTTCGTAAAGTTTTTTCAGCAGATTAAAAAGAAAGCAAAAAATTTACCTTTACCTCTAAATTAACGTCCATTAATTTTCACTCTTTTAATTACGCGCATAATTTGATAGTTATATTATAGTATAAATATCCTTACAATATATGTAAACTTATTATGAGGATATTTGCAATATAATACTATAATATATTATAGAATCAATCACAAGTCATAAAAACTTTTATTTTTACATTAATTATCAAACTATTACTAGTGTTAAAACTGCTCAATTGAAGCTCATAGTTAAAATCCGCAAAAATTTAAAAATATTTGTTATAAGCTGATAAATTGAATTATTTTGACTAATACCAACATAAGTCAAGAACTTTTTTTATTGATATTTGAAAATTACAAAAAAAAAAATTTGCTCCTTTTTGTGACACTTATTATTTTTTTTATTGCAAAACTCACGCACTAAAGTTAGTGTCATTCTCTCTAGGTTTAAATCGATAAAAGCAGTTTAAAATTTAAATGATTAAAAAAATATTTTTGACACTGCATTTTGATTTTAGATCGTTGATCCTAAGATTTTGAAAAAAGTTTTCCGTATTGACATTTTTTTGTTATTTACTTAAAAATTAAAAAATTTGCTATCTAACATTTTTATTTTTTAACAATTTTCCATTATAAGACAGAGCGGCCATGTTTAAAAAAGACAAAACCCGGACACAAAAATAAGAATGATAAAAAAGAGGTTCTAGGTCATATAAACATGAATTTGAATTCAAATACTATCAGTAGCACTCTATTTACCAAATCATGCAATGTTTGTGGAGCTAAGCCTATTTTTCAACATTGGCAGATCTAAACCAGTTGATAAAAAGACATTACCAATGAAAAGATCTTTTGAGTATATTTCACATTTGTGACACAAGACGGACAATAAAACATAGTTTTCTAAATTCCTTGCTAAAAATTATCTGTAAAAAATAGAAAGAAAAATATTCTACAGAGAGGAGCTATGTCTTATAGTTGATAATCCCAAGCAGGGCTACACAAATGATGAAAACATTGTTAGAGGAGCATATCTTAAGATCATTGTTAATATAACAGTATGTTTGGAATCATGACTTATTATGAATTTATATCTCTTTTGAGAATTGTCATAACCGTTTACGTTATTTATCATTATTTTAAAATTTTTATTGTATTAAACTAAATGACATATCGTCTTCTAAGTATTAACTTGTTCTATCTACAAATGTAGTAAATAACATGTTCTATCTAATATATAAAATAAATACAAAAAAAATTATATATAAATAAATACAATGTTTTATGTAATGTAATATAATATATTATATCAGGTAGAACATTGCATTTATATATAAATATGTATTTTTGTATTTATTTTATATATTAGATGAAACATTTTATTTATTACATTTGAAGATAGAACAAGATAATACTCAGGAGACGATAAATAAAACCTTAGTAGTTAAGGGGCGTTATTATTTTACACGAGTAATTGTAGATTTAGTTACTAGATTGAGGACAATTCTGAGATAAGTATAAGATAATAAGATAACCTGATATAAATTCTGGTTTTAAAGTCAACTCAGAAGCATTTAATTTCAGGGTTCAAACAGTGTTGCTATGAAACTACAGTTCTTATACTTGAAAACGTATTCCTGATAATTACCTTAAGGTGGCTCATATAGAAAGAAAAAAAAATTAATAAAAGAAATTGTAATGGTTCATAAATATTTTACTGTATTTTCGATGATATATGAAATTCGAATTTTATAAAAAAAATAAATTATATTTAAAGCAACTTTCAACAAAATCTGAGGCAAAAAAGGCAAATTTAAAAAATTCAAAACAATGTTTCTTGATTAATTTTGGTTTTGACTCAACAATTTTTTGTTTTATAGCTTCGTTACATTATTATCATTCATTTCTTCTAAAAGAATGAAAATATAATTAAAATATCAAAATCGAGTTTCATTACTTAAAAAAATCACAAATTTATAAAACTATTCTTAGTTGATCATTTTAGTATATCTGAAATCTTGATGATTAAGGAACATACACTGAAAATTTCAATCAAAAATCTTTTCTTAATCTTGATAAGTTGTTTTGAACAAAGTAAAAAGAAAAGTAAGAAAGTTATTTCTCGTGATTTTCACTTAAGAAATTTTTCTTCTAGAATTTGTTTAAAAATTCCTCTTTGTTCTTTCGCATTGCATATTTCAAAGTTTGTTCATCTTCGGAGGGAGTTTCACTTTTAGAAAGTGTTATTTTTATCTTCTTTTTATTTTGGATGAATTTTTGAAAATTTAGCATTCGAAAACGGCATAGGTCCTAGATATCGTCAACAAACGAATGTTCAAATAAGGGGTGTTTCAATTGTGAAAAGATAATGTCTGAAGTTGTTTTATTATTAAGAAGACGAAGATACAAGTTTAATTTATTTTATTGAATACTTTTTGAAATATCTTGAAAAATATTTTGAAATATACTTTTTGATTTTAAATAGCGACTTAGTATAGCTCTTACTGTGTTTTGAAACATTTAAAAGCGATTTTAGTCCTTCCAATTACATCTTGCTTTTTCATCAAAGCAGAATTATTTTCACATACCATAATTTAAAGTAGGGACTGCCAATAGTTTATATATATAGGAAATAGAACTTGGGTGGGCAAACCGGATTCCAGATTGAATAAGAGTTTGAACAACAGCTCTAAAGTTTGAAATTTTTTTATCAACATTTGTATTATTGAGTGAAGCAAAAGTTGAATGTTTAGTATTCCATGTGAATGTTTAATGTTTAATAAAATGTTTAAACATTTAATACTCAAGGTGTATTAAACAACTTTTAACATTCAAGATATATGTGTATTTTAAGTTAAAATGGAGCTTATTGTTTTATTTTTACGTAAAAAATTTATGCTCTTAAAATATTAAACGAGTTAGAGTGCACAGCATCATAAATTCTCATATTGAACAAATTTGATAATTTTTTGTTGTTCTAATTAATTATAATGTTGCCGTTCCGAATTTGTTGGTAATAAAAAATTCTGACGCGTGGTTCGATTTATAAAGGACCCGAAAGGGAACCCATAAAAAATCTTTTTCCGAAAAAAAAAAATATCACTTATTAAATTTTTTTTTTAATTTTATTTTCTATTTGTTCTTTAAGAGTTGCGTTAAAAAGAGGGGGGAAGGGAAAACGCATTTTTCTAATAATTATAAGGAAAAGTAATTTTGGGACAGTGGCTCACCTTGTGTCTATCCGGGACCGCTAGATTATATTATATTATATTATTATTATTATTCAGTGATCTAAAAAAACAGGTACAATAAATCTGTTTAAAGTTTGATGAAGAGGTGCTACACCAGGCCCCTCAATGCTGACAAAAATATAAAACACAGAAGCTACAGACAAACAAGCAATTGTGTCTTTAAAATTTACTTTGTTATACTGTTTTTGAAAGCATGGATAGATGGAGCGTTCACTACTGCTTGGGAAAGCGCATTCCATGGGACAACAACTCTATTTGAAAAAAAGGTTTTTATAAAATAATAGATATAAATAGATATTTATAAAAAATTTCAAAATAAGTTTAAATGACTACAATGGTACTAGCAAAAAAGTAATGAAGCGATTTTTACATTAAAATTTTTATTTCTTATTTTTTGGCCTAAAACCTGTAAAACTGAATTAGTAATTAAAAAAAAAATTGCGATTAACTTTTTTTTAAGTTTTATTTTTGTTTTTTTTTTCTATAAAAATTACTTAAACTAAAATTTATTTTTAATTTTTATTAATTTTTGGAAGAAGTAAAAGAAAAAGTAATTATTTGATATATTTTTCCTCGTGGCTATTAGGGATCGCTAGAAATTTCCAAAAATACCTAAAAAAGGGCAAATGTGCCAGTAAAAAAGATATGAACCAATTTTTTAACAAAATATTATAGTTTTTATTTTAAGGTCAAAATCTGTGAAAACATCATTTCTATTTTAAAATTCGCTCATAAATTCAAAATAATTTGGTGAATTATTTGAGTATTTTAAGACTTGAAGAATAAGGAGTTTCAAAAAAATTAAGTTTTATTCATAGATAATTTTATATTGAATTTAATTGATTTATTCGATATATATTAATATTCAGGCTTGAAAAAATACATTCTAAAAGCTAACGACTTTCAACAATGGCGTTTCAACTTAAACCTAAAACCGAATAAACCTAAAACTACACTATTAAGCATAAAGACCAGGTTAACGACACGTTTAAACAAACACTTGTTATAACGCAAATTGCTGAAAATAATATGATTATAAATATAAGCTTTTTGTTGATTATACAATATATATGCAAATTTCAAATTATTATTATTTTTTTTATTGTTATTTAGGTACCTCAAGAAGACCTTACGGTCTTGTCACAGAGGACCGCGGATGTGCATATAACCAGGAAGTTCACGCCTCCTTCCTTACCGTGATAGAAAATATGTCCAAGGCTCGTTTCGAACCTGGATCTCCTACTTATAAAGCAAGCACTCTAACCACTGCGCGACGGCCGCACATTATGTGATTTAACCTTTTTTGATTTCTATTTGTAGTATAGTTAGCATTTTAAAAAAACATCGTTTTTTTTATTTGAATTTTGCATTTATATTATATGCAAATTTCAGAGTGAAGTGAGTAAGAATTGCTTCATCGTCAAAATAGCAGTTTTTTTCCAGGCGTAATGATGCTTGTTGCTGTTGGAGGTAAAAAATTAAACTTTTTTTTATTAGTTGCGGTTTCTCTTTTAAAGCTTTTTTCTATTCACATTCATTTAAAGAAAAGGTTGTTAATTTTGGATGGCACACTATAAAATCACTTAACATTCTACTAATTCCACTTTCTTTATTAAACATTAGACTAAAGAAAGCGTGAAACCATTTAAACGATTAAGTCACCCGAGCGCGCCGTACTTTCATTATGAACCATAACTATTTGCGCAGTTTGAACTTCAGCAACATCCCATATGTATTCAGAAGTTACTGTTTTCAAAAACACGCTATAGTTTTTTATGTTGTTGGCAAAATTGATGAATATTTTATTATAGACTAAAACTTCCTTATAATCTCTTTCATGCCCATTACCAAAACGGACAAGCTTTGTTATTCGACTAAAAAAATACCAAATTAAATAGTAAGTTTGAATTGCTCTATAACTTCCGCTATATTGTGATATTGTATTTTTTTTGGTTCAATTTTCAGATAATCCTTTTATTTTGACCCTTCTAAATTCTAACTCTATTGAGATATAGTGTAATAATAAAGTAAATAAAAATTCGGATTGATATTTTTGCAACCATACATACAAAACCGTAGATATTAGATTTTAATTCGCTTTTAATCTTAAATTATTCGGTGAACTACTTCAGTATTCTAAGACTTAAATAATGAAGAATTTTACATCTAATAACCGTTGTTAGGGCTAAAAAAACTGTTAAATGATGTTTTACAGTTTTTGGCCTTAAATTAAAAACTATAATATTTTGTGATGGGATGATTTTAAACTTATTTTAGATATTTTTTGGAAATTTCTAGCGGTCCCTTATAGCCACAATGAAAAATATATCAAATAATTATTTTTTCTTTTATTTCTTCCAAAAATAAATAAAAATTAAAAATAAATTTTTGCTTAAGTAACTTTTAAAGAAAAAAAAGAGAAAAATAAAACTTTAAAAAATGTTAATTGCATTTTTTTTTTTATTACTAATTCAGTTTTACAGCTTTTAGGCCATAAAATAAGAAATAAAATTTTTAATATAAAAATCGCTTCATAACTTTTTTGCTAGTACCATTCAGAGCTGTGAAGTCGGAGTCGGAGTTGTGGAGTTGCAACATTTTTAGCGGAGTCAGAGTCGGAGTCGCAAAACAAAATCGCGACTCCGATTCGGTATTGCACGTGCATGTATAAAACATTCAATTAACCTTATGTTCATACTAAACTTCAAAAAACGTTTCATTAATTTGTCAAAAAAACATTTTTAACTTACTGCGTAATATTTTTTAAAGAATTCAAAGAATTTTCCAAAAATTTTGCTTTGGAGTTGTAGTCGGAGTCGGAGTTGTACTCAAAAAATTTCAACAACTGGAGTCGAAGTCAGAGTCATTACTTTTTTTTTTACAACTCCATACCCCTGGTACCATTGCAGTCATTTTAAACTTATTTTGAAATTTTTTATAAATATCTAGCGGTCCCGGATAGACACAAGGTGAGCCACTGCCCTAAAATTACTTTTCCTTATAATTATTAGAAAAATGCATGTGTTTTTTTTTCTCTCTTTTTTTAACGCAACTCCTAAAGAACAAATAAAAAATCAAATAAAAACAAAAAAAATTTAGTAAGTGATATTTTTTTTTTCGGAAAAAGATTTTTTATGGGTTCCCTTTTGGGCCCTTTATAAACCGAACCACGCGTCAGAATTTTTCTGATTAAACCGTCCACACCGGTGAAAGCGTTCGTCGTTTTTGTCAAATGTTTTATTAGAGTTAAAAATTGCCAGGTTCCTAAGTCTTTTGTTTGTTATTGTACCTCTTTACAAAATTAAAAAAATGGAAAAAGATCGTTCAGTTGTACCAAAGGTCAGTTAGCTTTACATAAGGTCTCAACATTGACAATAAGAACCTCACTAATAACAATAAGTGAACTTCTGAACTTTTTTTTTTCTTTTTAAAAGTTATCGGATCACTTCAAGTATGTCTTTAAAACAAACTGATTTCAATTTTGTGACAGAAACATTTGTTTCATCTTCTCAAGAGAGAATATTGTCTTTTATTAATCTACTTCCAACATTAAAAAATCAATATTAAAATAACTGTCTCATGAGTGCATTCATGGTTAGTTGAGCTACTTTTTGGCTTTATATTGCTGTAATATAACTTGGATGGTTTTTAATAAGTTATTTGTAATTAAATAAACTGTTAATCATAAATTGATCCCATAAAACAATTTAAACGACTCCATTTGAGCTTTGCATTCCATTATTTTAAACTTTACGTCAACCTCGATGCTTGCGTCAAGACAGTTATCCTAAACTTCCATTGCATGCAGTTTTGTAAAAACTAGATTAAAATTTGTTTAAAATCAGACATAACTAATTTATAATAATTAATTAAAAATTAATTATAGTTTAATGTAATAAAATTATAACTAATAATCACAAATCTTTTTTATTTGTTTTCTTTAATTTTTCTTGTTGATTAGATTTACAAAAAAACACACTTTATTATAAACAGTTCCACGAATTGTCCAGCGAGTAACTGATAGTTTTGATAAAAAAGTAGCTTGGTTACTGATAGACTTTTGCTTTGATAAAAAAGTTGCTTGCTCCAAAACACCATCACTGTCATCATTTAGTACTTTATTATTTCTATTGATGTCGCCAAAGGTTCTTTCTTGCTATGGGGATTATTTATTGAGTTTTAATTAATTAAATACTTTTTTCGTTTTATAAATTATTCGTTTTAAAATTTAATTACAAATTAGTGAAAAACTTTATTATAATATCTGAGTATTTAAAAATCCTATAATTCATCATAATAACATAAAATTTTTTGGAGCACCTAAATGCTGCCAATCTCTCTCTCTCTTTCTCTCTCTCTCTCTCTCTCTCTCTCTCTCTCTCTATATATATATATATATATATATATATATATATATATATATATATATATATATATATATATATATATATATATATATATATATATATATATATATATATATATATATATATATATATATATATATATATATGGACACGGAAAAGTCCGGTCAACTTTGAATTGAGATTTCTCTAAAACCACAAAAGCTTTTAATTTCTTTTATTTTTTTAATTAAACGTTACTTTCTTATATTTAATTGTGTTGATAAACATTTGTTTACAAATCAATGATTTGCCAAATGTTTTGAAAATAAATTGAGATGCGTAAAAACGATGTGAATTTTTTTGCAAAAATCTATCGACTTTATTTTGCTTGATTGCATATAGTCATAGATATTATAAATAAGTTCAAGACTACTCAAAGCTTCAAAAGAAAAACCTGGAAGTGGAAAAAAGAAAACTTCTCATAAATTCAAAAAGGTAAAGTCGATTCTCAGTTTATCAGCAATAAATCCAAACCAGTCACAGCGAGATCTATCAAGAAAATTCAAGACTACGTGTTCTTATATCAAAAAAGTACTTAAAAATGCTGAAATCAAAGCATTTCATTAAAAATATATACCTAAGAGAAGCTTAAATGGTGAACTAAAAAGAATTCAACACGCAAAGAAGTTTAAGGAATCGTGGATAAATGTATGTGCATAATATAAGTCGACGAAGCATATTGCAATGCGGATTTTGCACAACTTTCTAGTTAACAATTTTACTATAAAAAAAGATAAACCTGTCGATGATTAATTTAAATATATATGACGAAAGAACTTGCATCAGTTTCTTGATTGGCAAGCAATTTATGGCAGTGGTATGCAGTCCTCTTGTTTTATCAAAAAAAGACCTTGACTGTCAATACCTATATCAATGAATGCCTCAAAAAAGGAGTTTCGCCATTTATGAAAAAATACAAATACCTGTCTCTTTTGGCCCGATCTTGCTGCTTCTTACTATTCTAAAAAAGTTCTACAGTGATACAAAGATAACAATGTGAAAATTGTTCCTAAAGATGCGAATCCTCCAAATCGTCATGAGGAGCAAAAGTTTGAAGATTTTTGACCAATAGTTAAAGGAGTTCTTTGTAAGACAGTTGGAATAACAAAAAAATAAAAAAGACTTTTAAAAAAGTGGATTAATGCCACTAATAAGGTAAAAAAAAAAAACTCTGCAATATGATGACATAAACTCGCTATAAAATTCGATTTCTTGGTTGATTTATTTTTGTTAATTTCGCTAAGATTATAATGTACAATTATATATGCCATGTATATTGTATACAATTATATATGCCATGTATATTGTGTACAATTATATATGCCATGTATATTGTGTACAATTATATATGCCATGTTGTGTTGCGAATAAAATAGTTTCAAAATTACTCAGCATAATTTAAAATAAGAAAAAATACACGCATATACATATATAAATATAAGAATATATATACTTACAAAGGTCAAAATATGTACATACACAAACTGCTATAATCAAACATAAGCTTGGATCTGAAAGAAGATCACAAGATCTTGTCGTCAGAACCTTAAGTACAAAATACATAATAAAAAAATAAAAATTAAGATAAAAAAGTACTACAATCCAAGTAGAACAACAATTTTCAAAATATTAGAAGTATCTGAGTATATTATCGAGTGAAAAAATACTTTTTTTAGATTAAGCTTGAATAGCTAAAAAGATGTTGGTAGATCAAAATTCCGTAAAACAATATTATTCCATAGGTTTAAAAAATTTTAAACATTTATGTTTCTCATTTAAAAAATGTATGTTTCTCATATCGTATTTGTTGTTAGGTTTGAAAACGGTAATAAATTAAAACGGTAGGAGATTAGAAGATTATTTCTCCATAAATATACAAAACATTAAACTTTAAATACATTGAGTTCAAATAAATTTAATAATATCATTTCATTAAAAATAGGTTTTCTGTGTGTTAAACGATGAGCAACGTTAATTATGCGGATCTAATCTTTTTGACGACGATAAAGAAGTTTTAACTTTTTACAGTTCTCCCCCAAGAAGTGTTAGCACAAGCAATATTTATTAAGGTATATTATATTACATTAAGGTACAGTGATACAATATTACATTAAGGTAGTTACAAGCTTTATATAGAATTCCAATGTTTTTTGAAATTTTAGTAAATACATAATTAATGTGTTGATTCCAGGAGATGAATTCATCGAGTTAAACGCCTTAGTATTTTGTAACGTTGTCATTTATTGTTTCTAAATCGTCTCTATAAAGTTGCGGCAAGTTTGTTAGTAAAAATAGCTTTTGCGAGTAGCATACGAATGGAATAGAGTCCATTTGGTTCTATTAATATTTAAAGTTAGCTTAGTACATTTAAACCAGTTTGATGTATGTTTTAATTCTTTATTTATAGTGGTAAAGAGCTCCTATATATTATTATTTGAGAGGAATAGATTGGTATTATCTGCGTAAATAATACACACACACATATATATATATATATATATATATATATATATATATATATATATATATATATATATATATATATATATATATATATATATATATATATATATATTTATATATATAATTTTTGTTTTTTACTACATGTTTTCAACAACAAATGTTAAAGATATAAATATAAAAGAAATTAATTTCAAGTGAAAAAGTTAAAAATAAATATAAAGAACGCGGATACTCTAAGAAACCCGTAAGATCTTGTCGCTGTTGAAACTTAGACATTTCTTTCGTAATAATTTTAAGTTACTTGCTTAAAAGTGCTTGCAACGAAATTACATAGCCTACCAAACCACTGACTCATGTCTGCAATTTTCAGATAAATTTCACGTTTCTCAAAATCAAAATCTATGGTCAAGTAATCTTCATTCAATCAGTGCTGGATTAGAGGGGAGGGGCTATATCCTAGGGTCCCGCAATTTTAGAGACCTCGAAATAGTTTTTTTTTAAAAAAGTCTTAATTCACCACTGCATTCAATAACTATTATTTTATTTTTTTTATTCTTTATTTTTAATTTTAGGTGTCACAAGAAGTCCTTGCGGTCTTATCACAGAGTACCGCGGATGAGTATTTAATTGGAAGTTCACGCCTTCTTCCTAACCGATGTTTCAAATCTTGCCCAGAGATGGAGTTTGAACCACGGATCTTTTATTTCTGAGGCAAGTGCGCTACCACGAGGTAGCGCACTTGCCTCAGAAATAAAGGCTGAGAAATGCCTCAAAATGCCTCAGAAATATATTAGAGCAGCAGTGGCTCAGTGGCCACGCGCCACTGCTGCTCAAATTTCAATTGAGTTTTTCTACTTCATTTTTTATATCTACTACCAGGGCCGACGACACAGGTTTTAAAGTAGCAGAGTACAATCGTCAATTTTTGAGGGCACAATCGTCAAAATAGGGGAGAGAGAGATTGCCCTCGGCACTCTCCCCCTTCCCCAACCACTTCGATTAAATAGGTTACTGTTTAATATATATATATATATATATATATATATATATATATATATATATATATATATATATATATATATATATATATATATATATATATATATATATATATATATATATATATATATATATATATATATATATATATATATATATATATATATATATATATAAATTTCTTTTAATTTTCATACAAATTTTTTTAACTTTTTTTTTAATTATTGTAATTTTAGGTTTCATTTTTTTATACAGAACCCAGAAACACTTATATCAATTCTTGGAAAACTCAATTAAAACAATCGTTCAAATGTGTTTTGTGGTTTAATCGTGGAGCAATCGAGTCCACCATAAATATTAGGCAGTTTAATCAAGTCTAACTTTACCACCCTTAGAAGACGCTAAATAATATTGTATTTAACGGACGCTAAATATATGGTAAACAGCTTAAAAGTGTAATATCTAATTTTAATCAGCCTTAGGAATTAAAAATTATTTTAAAAAATACTTGTAAAGAAAGAACAATTATTTTAACTAAAGAAGTTTTATATTGTAATTTTTTCAATTTTATGCAATGTTGTGAAATACCTTATGTGTGCCAATTCTATGCAGATTACCAATATCTAAACATTAAAAATTAGCGGTTTATTAGTAATTAAGTTATCATAATATTTATATTTTACAATAGTTATTGAAAAGAAAGAAGCTCTGATTGCTCTGAACAGCCAAATAAAGCTTTCAAGACTTTGCAATAAAGTGGAAATCTTTTCCAGCAGCTCTAAATACACTAAACACACTTTTCATACTTTAAATTGCATAAGCTTTTTACAACACCTATTCCATAAAGCTAAAAATGGTTTAACAACAAAATGTATTTGAAAACTGCCAATTAAACAAAGATTTGTTTTAATTTTTATTTATCTATTAGTGTTTTATAATTATTATAGTTCTTAAGTTATTTATTAGAATTTTGGAAATAATATACACAATTTATGTCTTTTACAATAAATACTTTTTTAAATAAATTTGTATCTCAAAATTGTGTCTAATAAATTTCTTATGCAGAAAGATAAATTAATTAAAGTGAAAATAAACCATATATCTAGTTTCAGGGCTTCAGATCTTTATTTATTTTCCTCAGATTTTAAACTAATAATTATATCTATTGTACAATAGTTATAATTATTAAAATATACAATTGTATATCCTATGTCTATTATGATTGTAAATGTTTTTAATCTAGGTCAAAATGAAATCAACTTTCTAATGCTTTTTAAAAAATGGGAAATCTTTTGCGTTTGCTCACTGGAGCAAGTGAACAGGATTCCAAAGATATATTTTTAGACTTTGAAAGTAAGATTTTACTTTTTTTCTTTAACAAAATGATATCGTGAAATAAACTCTTGACCTATATATATATATATATATATATATATATATATATATATATATATATATATATATATATATATATATATATATATATATATATATATATATATATATATATATATATATATATATATATGTATATATATATATATATGTATATATATATATATATATATATATATATATATATATATATATATATATATATATATATATATATATATGTATATATATATATATATATATATATATATGTATATGTATATATATATATATATATATATATATATAAATATATATATATATATATATATATATATATATATATATATATATATATATATATATATATTTATATATATAGATAAGGTATTACAAAAAGAACCATGACTTTACAGATGCTTTTTAGCACTTTTCTATATACAGAATTTTGAATACATACATGCATGCATCTATACATATAAATATTCATACATACATGCATTCATACATACATACATACATACATACATACATACATACTTACATACATACATACATACATACATACATACATACATACATACATACATACATACATACATACATACATACATACATACATATATACATACATACATATATGCCTCTATGCATACATGTCAGGGGCTATTCTAGACCGTTTTCAACAGCATCAACCATATTTGGGTACCGATTTGGATGCCGCACAAATTAAAAGTTAAAGAACTTTTTTTACATATTTTATTGCAAATACTTTTTTTTTTCCGCTAAAAAATTCCGATATCCGATATATTTCTCCAGGACGAAGAGGGTACCGCCACCCAAATTTGTTTCCTAGAATAGGCCCTACATGTATACATACATACATACATACATACATACATACATACATACATACATACATACATACATACATACATACATACATAAATACATACATAGATACATACATACATACATACATACATACATACATACATACATACATGCATACATACATACAATAGCATCTAAAAAGATACGGACAGACTAAATAAAATTGAATTTTACTAATATTTCAGCACTTATTTCATTAAATCTAATATATTACATACCAATTAAAAAACTTTGATCTTTACTGTTATGTTTTGAACAAATATTGACAATTTAATTAGGGAACTTTAATTAATTTAAAAAATAATGGATTTCAATGAACTTATTAATTTGCATACATACTGAAGCCTTTCAAATTTTTCTCAAATACTATAAAAATACAAAACAAATATTTTGTGAAAATAATTAAATAGCTTTATTTATGAGTGATTCTGGTCACGGTGTATAAGAAATGTATATTTCCATTGAAAAAATTGACAGTAAGAACAGTTCAAATGAAAATTGTTTCATAGGACACAATTTAATAGAATATTCAAATATTCTAAAGCAATTAGGAAGACCATGCAAAACAAAATATCGCTGGAATAAAAACTAATCAATTTGTGAGACTAATCAACAAAAAAACCCATTTGACAGCTATTGATTTAAACAAACAAACTTATGAAATAAATTGCAGTATTTCTACAACAAAACTTTGTTTACATTATGCAAATATGTTTTGAAGATGCTCAGTCTAAAAGCCATTGATTTCCTTGAATAACTGAAATGACCAAGAGTTAACATTATAGTATCTAAAGTAGAGTATTCAACATTGGTCAAAGACCCTTTTTAGTGACAAGAACAAGTTTTGGATTGATTTTAAATGTGAACAATTTTGGATCAGATGGAATCAAGTTTGTTCGACACCCAGTAGGTACAAAATATGGTAATAAATACCAACTGCTTATCATAAAACATGGAGGAGATAATGTAAATTATTTTGGGATAATTTTGTTGGGATGGTATTGATCTGCTTTTGTATTTAGATGAATTTATGCCTTATAGATGCAAAGCCATTCTTGATTCTAAAGATAATCCTACAAAAAAGTAATGTAATTTCGCATTTCTAATAAATTTTGATGAA